GTGTCCCCCAGCTGTTCAAAAGAAAAGAAAGAGGAAATTGGCTTCCATTGCAGTAAAAGGCATTGACTGGAGATTAAATAACGTTCTGGTAGCAAAGACTACAACTCCAAAACCTTCCAGTGGAAGTTATAAGAGCCTGGGATGGTACCAAGGCAGAAACCATCTCTTTTGCATAGCTTAGATGTATTTTTGACTGCAGAATTTATTAGAATTTCTTGAAATTTCTTCCATTGTTGATCTTCTGTGGATCAACCGGATATTTGTTGGTTTGTTTCAACTTTAGAAGAGCATTTGAAGATATAACAAAGAGATAAGTAGGTAGAAATCAGAGTGGTCTGCTCCCAGGTTAGAAATTAGAATCCTGTCTGTCTAAAAGGGTCATTACAGCTTTTAGAAAAGCATTGTTACTCTGATGAAGAAGAGCACAGTAGATTGTTCAGTGCTGAGAGGATGACATGGTGGCCATGAGATGACAGTTCAGGCAGTAGGGGAGCCCTTGACATCTAAGTAGTTTTTGTAGAAGCTTCTTGGATACAGGTGACAAACCTGCTGAGCATTAGCTTGCAAGAGATTTCCCAAATGCTCCACCAACTCTGAAAACGTGGGTCTCTGACTGGGCTCCCCATGCCAGCAGTCCAGCATGGTCTGGTACCTAGAGCAGCAAAACACTGATTTCATTAAATGCCTCTTTCTTCCGGGATGCTGAAAATAAGCACTTAAATGAATACACATTTATAAAGAGCCCACCACGAGTTGAGATGCTAAATAGGGATACAAAACTGTGTAAGACACAGAGCCCCACACTCCAGAGGCTCAATGTGTATAGAAAAGAAAACATTAAAAGCAACATCTAGTAAAAACTAACTGGTTGCTTTGAATAATAAAATTCTTTTCAAGAAGGGATGACTCCATGCTTGAAATTATCAAGAAAGGCCTCAAAGTAAAAGCAGGACACTAACTGGGCCATGAAGAAGGTTTAAATAATGGAAAGACTTCCAGGCTAGGAAAACTTGTGAGCAAAGAAAGAGAACAGAGGAATACTTCTTAAAGTCTTACATTTCTGGTGTAGTATAATCGGGGGCCCTCATTCTAGTTCCTTCTTTCAATCGCCTACAAAATTCTTCATCAATCTTTACCCCAGGATATGGAGAAGCACCTAGAATAAAAGAGGGAGGAGCCATTCTTTGATTTCCTCTTATAGAAAGCCCTGAGCCTGAGTCTTGCACATCCTCATCACCTATGTATTTATCTTTTTTTGTTGTTTGTTTTCAAAGCTTCCAGGAAGTTTTACCTGATAGATGTGAAGTACAGGAGAGAAAAAGGCAAATTTTGTCATTCTCTTTGGAGTCTGGATGGAAGGACAAAGAGAAATGACTCACCTAAGGAAAATATTTCCCACAGCAAAACACCAAAAGACCAGACATCACTCTGGATTGTGTACACTCTGTCAAAAATTGTTTCCGGGGCCATCCATTTCAAAGGGAGGCGAGCCTACGGGATAGAAGACAAGGACTCAGAACCCAAATAAGCAAATATCTGAAGAAAAAACTTCCTTTGTTCCTGAACACAGGTCCTGAAGCTCACTACGAGAAATTTAGTTGTTTTTTTTGTTTGTTTGTTTTTTGAGATAGAGTCTCGCTCTGTTGCCCAGGCTGTAGTGCAGTGGTGCAATCTCGGCTCACTGCAACCTCTGCCTCCTGGGTTCAAGCAATTCTCCTACCTCCGCCTCCTGAGTAGCTAGGATTATAGGCATGAGCCCCGCTAATTTTGTATTTTTAGTAGAGATGAGGGTTCTCCATGTTGGTCAGGCTGGTATCAAACTCCCAACCTCAGGTGATCCGCCTGCCTTGGCATCCCTAAGTGCTGGGATTACAGGTGTGAGCCACAGCACCCAGCCAGTAGTTTTAATTCTGTTACTTAACAGAGCACTGGGTTCATGTTTGAAACTTACATCTCCTTTTCTGACGTAATCTGGGTCTTTATAGATATCCCGGGCCAAGCCAAAGTCACAGATTTTAACCACGTTCTTCTCTGATAAGAGGATATTTCGTGCTGCCAGGTCCCTGTGGATACACTGCAAAGAGAATTGTGTGTGCATTAGTTCTCAGCACAGCTGATCTCTTTCACATCTGTTGTGATCTCATGCTTCAAAAAAAATCCCACATCAGAAAGCCAACTGATTAACAAGGACTGGGTTAGTACCTTTTATCAACACTGAAGTAAAAAACTCTCTGAGCTTTGCTGAGACACACATCTGCTTATTCCATAAACAGCCCCAGCCTTTGGAGTTAAATAATTAAGTTATAATATGATGATGGAATCATAAACAGGCTTCTGTAGGACACAATTAAAAATGTGTTTCTGGTCACATCCACACATCCCTTTTGCCTGGCCCCATATTTGGTTAAAAACGTGTTATTCTAAGGAGGTCCCAGAATGGCATTTATTATTTGAATGAATGCACGGAAATCAGAAACAAGGGGCTCTCATTGGTTTAGTGCTCTTTGTTGGTTTCCCCCTTCTGTATGAAGCTGAAGCCCAACTGGCTCTGATAAACACTTCCCAGTGGGGCTTCCGCTGATTTCAAAGTGCTGCGTTATCATAAAGGTCTATTAAGGCAATTTCGGCCTAACAAGAGTCAGGTTGATTCTCTAGAGCACTAACAATAAAATGAGATTCACCTTGGCTTTCTTTCTCTTCCTTTTAGCTTCTTCGTTTCCCCTTTCTGTGTATCCTCTAAACTTCATCTAACTTCCTACTACTCGGCAGCTTTAACTCCACGTGATACTTTATAAGAAAATGAGTCTTAGGGAGCACAAGAAATGAATCAAACTTTTTCTTTTCTTTTTTTTCTTTCTTTTTTGTTTTTTTGAGAAGGAATCTCTGTCACCCAGGCTGCAGGGCAGTGGTGCAATCTTGTCTTACTGCGACCTCCACCTCCCAGGTTCAAGCAATTCTGCCTCTGCCTCCCAAGTAGCTGGGACCACAGGCGTGCACCACCACACCCAGCTAATTTTTGTATTTTTAGTAGAGACAGGGTTTCATCATGATGACCAGGCTGGTCTCAAACTCCTGACCTCAGGTAATCCACCCACCTTGTCCTCCCAAAGTGCTGGGATTACAGGCATGAGCCAACACGCCTGGCTGAGAGGACAATTCTTAAGTCACTGTGATCATGTAAACCGGGCATTGCTGATCTTCCCATACCTCAAATCTGTATGGCACTCTCCTCTGAACAAGGCATATTCAAAGCACATTTTCTAGCACAATAGAGCAACACCAGGAATTCCAAAAAACAGACAGTACTTTTGACTTTTCCCCCCAAACAAAAAAACTTCCTTTTGTTAACTCAACAACCAAATGGATTCAAGACATCGTCTGGTAGGTGTAAGGGAGGTTAAAGGATTCCCACATTCATGCCCATTCTTTTCCTAGTCCGCAAAAGGAACCCTAAGTGGCGAATTCTGGCCATTAAAAAATAGTAATAATAAATCATAATCTCTAAGAAGTGCAAAGGGCTTTTCTCTTTGGGAAAACCCTATAAATCCTCAGTTCTCCCCCTTCCCCTTGGGAGAGCGAACACAAGAGCTACTAGCAGAAACTTTGAAGAGCCTGCAGCCTTGAATGCTGTGAGAAGCTTTAAACTTCAGGGGAGAACATGGGTTGAAGATTTCACTCTAGTTTAAGAAAAACCAAAAAATGCATAACTTAAGTCTCTCTGTCTTCATTAGGCTGCAGGAATACATTCTGTCAACTGATAGTTCTTCCTGATCCTTAACTGGAAGTTTTCTTATCTAATATAAAATTACACATTTTACTATTTCCAGAGGAGTCACTGCCACCAGCCTGTTCCCGCTTGGTGTTTACAACCTTTGGAATAGTTGTGACTTGTCACGTCCCTACCTCAGCTTTTGTTTGGCCTATTTTTCTAATTTTAGCTCTTTTAATCGCCCTCATCTGAAGCCTGTCCTTCCTGGCTTCTAATTATACTCCTAACAAATACTTTTTGATTGATGTTGATGAATGTAAAATAAATTAAAAATAGACTCTCATGCCAAGGTATGTGTAAGGCTCAGTCCCTCCCCGCTCCAGGTCATTGCTCAAATGTCAATAAAGTAAAGCCTTCCTTGTTTATCTTGTTTAAAATGAATGTACACAACGGACAGAATAAACATACACAAATAAATCACTCCCGTATATTCTACAACCCTTCTTGTTTTATTTCACCATAGCATTTACTCCCATCTAACCTACAATGCATTTTACTTGTTTATATTGCTTATTGTTTGCTCTACCTACTAGAACTGTAAACCCCATGAAGGTGAAGAGCTTGGCCTCTCTGTTCACCACAGTATCCTCAGTGCTCAGAAGACTTAGTTAATGTTTGACAAGTCTTTATTATACAGCTTAATTTCATGAACTCTCTAACCACTGTTACTTAGCAGGAACAGAGCCTCCCCATTAGAGCTCTTCTAAGAGACACAGAAGTGGTGAATGAATTATAATCCCAAACAAGCACCAGTGGCTGACACGGGACCTGTGATCTGAAAAGATAGCTGATTTCCCCTCAACCTGTCTTACCTTTCGCGATGCCAAGAACTCCATGCCCTTAGCCACTTGAAAGCTATAACAGATGAGATGTTCCAAGGTCAGGAAGTCCTTATACAGATCTTCAGGAGCTGTCCAAAGAGGCAGGAGGATGGAGATAAGTATTTCCGCCAGCTGGTGTGATTTGTTTCTAAGTTTGCTAGAGCGATAATCTTTTTAAGACTTGGGAGTAACATTTTCAGCAAATAGAAGCAGAGAGTCAATGCTTCTATCTTCTGTAAATCTCCTGAATGCCCAGTATCATATACCTTCATCATACCCCTTAAGAACAATACTGGTTTTTTTCCCATTTTAGCCAAATTGAACCAGTAAATCCAGGAGGTAGAATAAAGTAATATTGACCTAGATAGTCTGGGAAAGAAAGAGGACTTTTCCAAATGTGCCACTTACACTGTTTTTTTTTTTTTTTCATGTACCCAAAGGGATAAACAATAGTTTCATATCAAGAGCTCTAAAAATAAAACAATAATATTCAGGGTCATTGAATCTCTTCTCTCCAGGCTTTGTCCTCGGACAAAGGCCAAAAGTCCAACTATAATCTGCAATGAATAACTAAAAATACTAGAAATATATTTAATTCATTTTCAAACCTAAAAATGCTGTAACAACATTAAATCTGGCCTGGGAGGATGTTTTTTCCTGAGAGATAACAGAAGCATGGAAAGATAAATTTACATAAATTAGTGGTATTTACTTCAGTGCAACTGGTACAAATAAACGCTAAGACATTAAATGGGTGTTTCAAAATCATCTCTTTGGTCAGATAAGACTTATGGCTTCTTTCCTGGAGAGAAATACCAGAGTAAACAAAAACTTAGTTGTAATAATAACCTTGTAAGTATTAAAAAGGCTGTGAGCCTTTTCCTCAACAACTCAATCTCAGGTTTCTGGCTCACTGGCCACTGTTTTTTGAAGGAGAAAGAACAGGGTAGAGTCAGCACCACTCAGTGTGGGCCCAGCTATGTGAAGCCTAGACCACCTCCCCGTGTGCTCCTAGACCAAGCCTAGACCACCTCCCCGTGTGCTCCTAGACCAAGCCTAGACCACCTCCCCGTGTCCTCCTAGACCAAGCCTAGACTACCTCCCTGTGTGCTCCTAGACCACCTACCCGTGTGCTCCTAGACCAAGCCTAGACCACCTCCCCGTGTGCTCCTAGACCACCTCCCCGTGTGCTCCTAGACCACCTCCCCGTGTGCTCCTAGACCACCTCCCCGTGTGCTCCTAGACCAAGCCTAGACCACCTCCCCGTGTCCTCCTAGACCAAGCCTAGACCACCTCCCCGTGTCCTCCTAGACCAAGCCTAGACTACCTCCCCGTGTGCTCCTAGACCACCTCCCCATGTGCTTCTAGACCAAGTCCCAACCTCAAACTACCTTCTCAGCTTCTAAGGAAAAGGAGTTAAAGGCAAGTTCTCTTTGTAGCCTCATGTCAAAGGAAGCAGAGTGGATTTCTTCCACTAATCTTCTAGACTCATGTCTCAAGGGGAGCCAGCCTGTCACCCATCACTACATCCATGGCACTGTCTCTGCTCCTTCTGAAGGAAGCAGATGGACAGTGTGCCCTGGAGACAGCTGAAGTTCTGCAAGTTAGGCTGGGACCACAGCTCCACCATAAAGAGCACAAAATATTACTGAGGCCAGTCATGGTGGCTCACACCTATAATCCCAGGACTTTAGGAGGCCAAGGCAGGCAGATCACCTGAGGTCAAGAGTTTGAGACCAGCCTGGCCAACATGGTAAAACCCCATCTCTACTAAAAATACAAAAAAGTTTAGCTGGGCGTGGTGGTGCATGCCCGTAATCCCAGCTACTCAGAAGGCTGAGGTACAAGAATCACTTGAACTTAAAAGGGGAGGTTGCAGTGAGCCAAGATCGTGCTCTTCTAAGAAATACAGTGAGACACTCCATCTCAAGAGTTAAATAAATAAATAAACAAACACTGGAAATATAACTTAATAAAGGCCAGGATATTTATCAAGACTCCCTTGGAAGGAAGGGAGTCTTGATGGTTGGAAGACTTGATAAGCCACTTGGGGTAGGATAGAAACAACAGATGGCTCCTCAACTGCCTTGCAGAAGGTTAGGTATAACAAACAGAAAGACCTTTGCACAGGTAAAGCATGCAACGTGGGGCTGGGCCACTCTGGGGCTTTCCAAGGCAAGGGAGCAATTAGTCAACTACCAGAAAGCTTGTAGCCTCTTCCTCTAATAAATGTTCAACCAGTATTTTAAGAACACTGCTATGATTGTAGCTGACTGCTTAGCCCACTTGAACCACCAAGATTTCTCAGGCTAGCCCTGCTTCACCTCCCAGTCTAGGGCTTCCACACTTCACTTTTGCGGAGAAAGAATAGAGACATTCTATTTAGAAATTCAGGTATCTTTCAAATTGGGAGGTAGTGCTGGACTTTTCCCATGATCAAATTTCCTGTAATACTCTATCACCCTGTCTGCTCCTATAAGAGCACGCCATAGCGTGCTGGCCAGTACCTTCCTCTTCTTCTACATCACTGAGGGACTTCTCCTCCACAAATCCCGAGCTGGCTGAGCTCTGGCTACTGGTGATGCTGTCCAAGCGCCGTTTCAGATCCACAGGGATTTCTCCAACGTAGTCTTTTCCTTGACGGAATCGTGCCCCTTTGGTCTATAAAAAAGCAAAGGAACAAACAAATTCCTTCAATATAAAATGGGTCTTTAAAAGTTTACAACCTTTAAAATGTAGTAAACCATGGAGATAATTGAAACTACTAAAAAGCAGACAAAAAGGGCATCAATTTCAGGATTATGCAATCTCTGAGCTGAAATATGGGGCAATTTTGTGCATAATAGGGTTTCTTCCACAAAGCCTAGCTCCTTCTTTAGCTTAAAGAAACAAATGCCACATTTCGAGTTGCATTCAGACACACTTTCAGCATTAGGGTGCTTTTCACAGAGAGATTTACACTCCATGTGGCCAAATATGGCTAGGGGAAAGACAGAATAACCCAGTCCTGTCCCACCCTCTGCCCTCCCCTCTCCTCGATCATACCACCTTCTCCCCCATGCCTGCGCTCTGTAACGGGTCAGTAGATTAAAATAAAAAAAAATAAACAGAAGCATATGGCCCCCAGAAGGTAAAAGAGGAAGTTACTCCAGCCAGGAGGTAATATGAGAAGATTCCTCACAAGTTCTTCATAAAATTTCAAAACTAACCTGTACCATTTTGAGTTTCCCTTCATTTTATAACATGGCCAGAGCGGGATTAGGAAATGACATACCTTGTAGGGGACAAATTCATTTCTCTTATTCCTCAGGTAACTGGATAGGTTTCCAAACTTGCAGAATTCCACAATCACCATGAGCGGCCCTGTAGACAGCATGTCAAGGAAGGAAAATGGGTTTTCATGCATGTTTCTCACTAAAGTGTTTAATAGAGTGATGAACCCAAAAATACCTTAGAAGAAGGCTACAACCTTTCACTGGGACAGCGATGTAGAAATCAGCTGGTCCCAATCCCCTTATATTGTAGTTTTTCTTTTTTCCAGAAGACATTTTCACAAGATTAACCAAAATTTCAGAAGAAAACCCACCCATCTACTTGCTTTTCAGTGCAATCACTTAATATGGTTCCATTTGGGGGGTAACTACCCTTAAGCTTTCAAGTTTTGTGGAAGTTTACTCTTCTCTGGACATCTGTTACACAGGTAGCAAACTGTATCACAGTGGCATGACATTTTTTAATTCAGGGAAAGCTTTAGAACAATTTAATTCTAGTGCTAATTAAACCTCCATGAAATATATTTATTCCTAGGAATCCACACAGTATTCTAAGCTAAGAAAATCAAGCCCATGGGAGTTAACTGCTTTCCCTCAAAGACTAGCAGAGAGGAATGTTAAAACGGCGACAAAAACCATCCACAGTTACTCACCTCCTGGCTTGGTACAGGCACCTAGAAGGTTGACCACATTGAGATGATGACCAATATGAATGAGGATCTTGAGTTCAGACATGAGGGCTCGATGCTCACTGTGTGTTGCCCCTTCTACAAATACAGTACAAAGAGGGAAATCATAGGTGCGGACATTGCCTTCAGATAATTGGGGGTCTTTCCTTCCCTGCATGTCACTGACTGTACGGCTTACCCTCCGGGGGTAACACAGCTGGACCTAGTTTACAGACCATACGTGTTTCCTCAAAAGTCAAAAGTTAAGTGTAAATTCTATTTTCTAATATATATGTATTTTAGAGACAGGATTTCACCATGATTGCAAGGCTGGTCTTGAACTCCTGACCTCATGATCCACCCGCCTCAGCCTCCCCAAAAGCAAAGTGCAGGGATTGCAGGTGTGAGCCACCACACCCAGCCATAAAATTCACATTTTAAGTGAGCCAGAATGTTTGATATTTAAAAGAATCCATTGTGAAATCTTTTGTAAAGTGAAGAATACATCTGCAATGGAGTCATGCCCAGATTCTCTTCTTTTACAAAACTGGATTTTTGCATTTCAGGTTCACTATGATTCTTAGGGTCTATCATTTTAGTGCTTCCTCATAAGGAAGTGACACCATGTATTAAATATCTTCACGTGTTAGAGGCTATCCTGAATGTTCCAGCCAATCTGTGCCGATCTGTGTAAGCAAATCAGGGCCAGCTGGCAAGGCCAGTTGGCACATGAGGCTGATGGCACTAAGACTATGTGTTTGATCCTGTATGAATTGCTACACTTCCCTCGAATTCACAGGCACAGTCCACATCTCAGGCCCTGATGAGCCACCTCAAAATTACATACTCCCTTGGCCACAAGGGAAAAAAGGAGAATGGAGAAAGATAGCTTTGAAATGCACAAAACCTATTGGCAAAGGGTCAGTGGCATGTCTTCGTCAAAGAATAAAGAAGCTTTATTGTCTAACATCCTGAAATGAAAATGGCCAGAACAGAATTCCATTACTACTAGGATTAACAATTATTTATAAAGCTTTTAATTTTAAAAATATAACCCATTATTTTTTTCTAACACAACCATTCTTATTTTGCAAATTATCTTTTACATATGAACCTCTTTTACATATTCCAATTCTAGAGAACATGCTATTTTTGCATTCCACTATTTTCCTTTCCCTGTCTCTAGATGGTCTATAATTATCTGATTCCACAATATATTAAGAAACCTTTTTAATATAATCACAGTGCTTTTTTCCTGTCACCAGAACCACTAAGTACAATTGTTTTGGCTGAGACCTGCACAAGGGTAACCAGGCAAGGAGGTGAAACCCGTCCCCAACTTTGCTTGCCAGACCGTGCACCCTGGCATAAAGCTACAAAAGAAGATCTTTTCCAGTTTGCATAGGTTATTATTTAGGCTGGCTGCATGTGAGGCTAGTAGGCCCACCTAAGCACAAAGCTCCTGATAGAAGCCTAGACAAAACAGATAGAGCACCATATAATTTTGTTTTTACCTTTTAACATTTTGACTGCTACTGTCCTGCAAGTTGCTGTCTTGTCAATTCCAAAGGCATCTGCTTCAATCACTTGGCCAAAGGCACCACGGCCAAGGGGCTTACCTAGAATCAACAATAGCAACAAGAAAACGGACTTGGATTATTATACCACCAAAGTGATATGCAGAGGTGTCAACCAGATAGGGTGACCATGCATCTCAATTTAACATGGATAATCCAGTTTACTCCTTTGTCCTGGCTTAATTACTTAATAATTCTCCTTCGCTCGCCAAATGTCCTGCTTCGGATGACTACACAGGGACCCTACCTCTAAGTGGCTAAATGAATGATTATCCAAATTCAAGAGATGGAATTAATATTTCTAAACCAGAATCCAACATCTGAATAGACCACATTTGTCATCATTCTAATGGAGGAAGAGATGGCCTGGTAAACACAACATCAAATTAATAGCAACTGAAAATGCACCTAGCTTCAGCCGGTCTCTGGGGAATTCCCATTTGCTGGCATCATAAGGCAGTCTTTCACAATGTTCGTCCAAAGGGAGTTCATCTGGATCCATGACGATGGACAAGTAGCCTGTCTTCAGTTCCCCTCCACTGGCCTGGAAAGCATCAATCCTTCCAGTCATATTCACACTGTTGTTTGGCTGTTGTTTTCTAGGCTTGTTATTGCTGTTTATTGGATCCTCATTCCTGTCTTATTTTCCTATAAAACTCATGGAGTTTGAGAGTGGTCCTATTATAACCCTGCTTCTGGTGTCCCCTTATCCCCCAAAGGAGCTCAGAATTAAGTTTTTAAAGCCTAATTACACTAGACAGTCCAAGCCCTTTTCCCCTCTAGTGGCTTCTATCAATTAAATCCCTGAGATCCAGCCAAAAGAAAGTGGGCAAGAATGTTATTGTATTGAAATAAAAATGTTCCCATTGAGCCAATAACAATGGGAAGAAACAACTCAAAGAACCCCAGTCAGTTTTCATTAATCATGAAAACCAGTGGACATGGGCAGAAGGAAAATTATTTTGTTACCCGCTTAACGGTCCGTAGGATGATGACAAGAAGTAGCCAGAAGAACATGGCAATCACCGCTGTGCCTACTAGAATAATGATTTCCAAGTTCGTCTTTTCCTGGGCACCTGGAAAGACACAACTGAATGAGTATCAACCAGTGGAAACTTACATACATACATATATAATATATAGATATAGATATATATTTTTTTCTTTTTGGTAAGATGACAAATTTTAGCACTAAAGCAAGATC